AAGACGCCCTGCCCACGGACTGCCCAGCTGAGCCCTAGCCAACCCAGGGAACAGCGAAATGCAATGAAATGGTTGCTTTTGGGGTGGTTTGTTAGGCAGCAATAGATGAGGTCGTTTTCAAAGTGCTGCCTAGCGCATGGCTCATGGGAAGAGTCTGGCTCTATGTATGTACTCGTGGAATAAAACAGAAGGACCCATAGAGGCTGACGGTGATAGAAGTTGTCAGGGATCAGATGCAGGATTAACTCAGTTCTTTGCATATGATAAAATAAAACCTCTGACGGGGTCCATATATTCCTTTCCTAAATAGGGTGACTTTGGACCCGGTAGGTGAAAAGCATGTCCGAAAAGGAGAGTTTCTCAAAAGCAGCAGGGCTCTGTGGCTGGTCTCCTTGTATTGTCTTTGTGCACAGACTTCAGAGCCTCTGAGAAGGCACTAGATGTATGAGCTCCGTGACTCATGAGTCCCTCATTTCTGGGAATACAGACAACTGATAGACTATATTTGTTTTCCTCTGTAGCACTAGATCCAGAACTGGCAAAAAAAAAAAAAAAGTTTTTCTTTTTTTTTTTAATCTGGGATGAATTCTCAATTAGCCATAGCTCCAGTGTCAGGAAATGCAAGGGTAACTGAAATCTACGCATGATTCAAAGATCTCAATCAAGTCAGTAATTTCAACCTCCAGAAGGATCTCTTGCTGTTCTTTTTATTCCAAGCACAGTGTGCTCAATAAATATCTGTTGATTATTTAAAATCAGTCCCTCTTCTTTCTGAAAAGGATTTTAAACTATCTGTGTATGGTCCTTCAGATCATTTATGAAAGTCCTTTTTCAGGCCCCAAGCTGGGTCAGAATAACGCAGATAATCAGCCACGGTGAGTGGAAGGAAGGGGAGGGAGGGTCCCTGTCATTCGTGCATCCACTCCTGGGAGCTGAACCTTACAAATCTTACAGGGATTGTCCGGGGTAGGCATTGCCCCCATTTTACAGAGGCAAAAAACTGAGGCTTGGATAGATGGGCTCCCTTGTCCAGGGCAGAGCCGGGCTGGTTCTTTCCCACGCCAGTGCACTGGGAAGCAGAGAGACGGAATCACCCCACAACAGCTGAACAACAAGGGGAAGGCGGTAAACTCCTGGGCACTGAGAGCTTTGTAAAGCCAAGAAAGGTGGACTGTAGGACATACTGGCCCATGCATTTCTGCCTGTGCATTCCAACACGTTTTGGCGAGGGTGTGCAACTGCCCAGCCATTGCTTTGGGGTGCCCATTTCTCCTCATTCCAAACCTCTGCGGCCCCAGGCCTCTTGTGGCAGCCTGCCGGTCTGTAGACCCTTCCTGGGCCTGGCCAAGGCCAGGTGATGTCCAGCCAGGTGCATCCCAGTCCCCACCTCTGGTCCTAAAATGATCCTGAGCCCCGTCCCTACCCACAGGCCCACCTGCTCTCCCACGAATGGCTCCAGAATCACAACCTACATATCTCCTCCAGCCCGAGGGCTTAGAGCTGTGTGGCTCATCTTCCGGTAAGCTTCTGGGAACATTCTGGATCAGAGAGGAAAGGAAGCATGTGCTGATTTCCTTTCCCAGGTCTCTCCTCCCTGGTGAGAGCAGACTGAGGGTGAAGTTTCTGTGCAGGTCACGCCTCTCTGTCAGCTGGGCAGCGTGTCAGGGAAGGGAGAGACAACCCCGGGCGGCCGAGCCGGGGCCAGGAGGGGAACAAAGAGGCCCGGGGAGGACATGGAACCTCCAGCTGGCCACTGGCCAAAGTGCGGGGAGGCAGGCTGCTGTTTTACTCCCATTTCCTCCTTCAGCTCCTCCGTGCCCGCAGATGAGCTACTTCCACTAAAGATGACATAACTGTGAGGACAGCCCAGCCGAGAGGGACAGACCACGGACAGTGCTCAGTCACGGGGAAGTGGGGCCGGGCCACAAAAGACAAATACAAGTCACTTCGAAGTCGTGCCATTCATTTCTCCTTTATTGGATTTTCCAGCTCATCTGAGCTTCTGCTCGGTCCTCTGAGCTGTAGAATTTGTGCGAACGTTCCGGGTTCTCTGGAACCCCCAGAGGAGAACACAGAAGCACGCGGGGGCACACACACACACACACACACACGGGGCAGGCAAGAGCTCGCTGGGCTTGTTCCAGTTGTCCCTCTCCCCCTCCGGCTTCACCGTGACATGTGTTTGTCCCTACCGAATATCCACAAGGGAAATGGTTGGGTTAGGATACGGCCCGGAGCGGGGGAGAGCAGGCCGTGGAAGGAGTCGATGGAAGGGAAGCGGCGAACCCCCAGCGTCCTTCACCCGCCCCTCCTCATTCCTTTCCCTGCTTCATTCTCGAGTTTGAAGCAGAGGTTCAAGCCTGGCCGAGCCGCTGGTGAGGGCTCAGCGCCTCTGCACGGGTTAGCAAGAGGCACCCTTCTTCTAGGGCGAGTGCAGCCTGGCTTGGCGACAGACACAAGGCCTGGACTGTGGCCCCCGCCTGGCCCCTGCCTCTTGGCTGGTGCCTCGTGGTGCACGTATTGTCGTTCCTTGCATTCCCTAGCCTTGAACGACATCAGGGTTCAAGCGCCAAGAAGGGATGAAGAACTTCATCAACATCTCAGATGCTCCTGGTGCTGATGGAGCTCAGAGTCTCGCATGAGGAGGACCCAAGCTGGTGGCCTGGGACGGTGGCACGGAGGCTACTCTTAGCTGCCAGGAGCGTCCTGCCCCCCCCCCCCCCCCGCAACTGACTCCTTGCATGTGGACTCTGCTTTATTTGCCAGGGTGGGGATGCAAATATGGGGGAAAGAGGTATGGCACAGACCCAGTACCCACGTGCCCCTTCCCAGCGCAGGGGCCCCAGCAAGCTGCTGGGCACCTGTCCGCCTTTGTTATTTTGAGTCCCTATGTCTCGTCTCATGAACCAGGAAAGCAGGCATTCCCTTGCAGCCGACTCAACAGGAAATGATCTCGGGGATCTCCCACTTCCTTCATTCATGGAAGAAGCCGGGAGGATAAAGGCTACGGTCCTCCCATGAATGCTTGTGCCCTTCCACTGAGAGGTATTGCCGGTTAACCTGACGGCTCAGGGACCCAGGCTGGGGGGATGTTATTTCTCCACTCTACTCGTGAATGTCATTCACAAGCCACGAAGTGGACCCCCCCCCACCCCCGGCTTTGGAAATTTAATGTGTGAGAGCTGCATGCAGCCCGTGGTATCCACATTTTAAAAAGGTTGACTGAGAAACGGTGGATGGTGGTGCAGCTAATGGCAGCCTGGAGGGTGAAGGGGGCGGAGGAAACAGAGGAGCTGAGGCATCTATTAGGGGAATGGAGCACCGAAGGGAAGCGTGGTGGGGAGGGCATCTATTGTCATCAGCCATAAAGCACATCTGAGTTTCATCTGTTTCCCTCCGCCTGCTGCATGGGGAGAGTCTGTGAATGGGGGGCTCGGCAGGCAGAACTGATACCTGCATCAGCTTGATCAACCTGCAGCTGAGAATCCTTACCCTCCTCGCTGCCTGGACCTTTGCACTTTCCGCTCTCCCGCTTGGGGGGCATAAGGCAGACGCTGGAGTGATATTCAGAATGTGGGTCATGTTCTAGAAATCTCTATCTGAAGCATTCCCCAGCGCTGGGCTCCGCCTTCTCCTCCCGGGGCGTGTGGGTGGGCGGCAGGCGGGCGGACAGGGGAGCCAGCAAGTCCTTTCCTCGGGTGACCCATGTGCCCCTTGGTTTCAGCGGGATGCAAACACGGGGTGCAGGCTAGACCCTTTCCACTGTGATGGATAAAAGAGGGACATGAAGCCCTTAGGAAAGGTCTCGTTCAGCCTGTGACAGAATTGGCTCGTGGTTCCGGGAAGGCACTGTGTGGGACTCATTTTTTTTTTTTTTTAAACCAGACAAAGGGGCTGTAGTCTGCTAGGACACGCTTCTTGCCACATCTACCTGTCAAGCTAGAAATCCAATAGCGCAATGGGACTGCTAATTGATATGCAAAACAGGTCCAGGGTTCCTAGAAATGTCTAATGATCCTCTGAGGTTCCTTGCGAATGCAGAATTAAGACAGGAACTACATGGGATGGGAGTAAGAACACCAACCTTTTTACTTGCTCTTTTTTTTTTCTTTTAAAAATCTACTTTGGGGAAACTTCACCGGTTTTATAATTTCAAAAAAAAAAAAAAGAATATTGCAATCAATGGGGTTTGTCTTTCACACACTGGATATTTATTATTAGAAAATAGTTTTTATCAGCCGGCAGTACCAAACAAATTGAAAGGAGCGTGCTTCTCACCATAATTTTTTTTTGTCTCTTTAATGAAATTTAAATAAACAGCTCACTGTCAGGAGAGTCGCCACGCCTTTTTTTTTTTCCCCTTTAAAAACGGAATAAATGAAGTTTAGTACAAAACGTCCTTCAGATGTGCCTTGTTCTGCAGTTGTTACGCTGTCCCCTTGAGTAAGAGAGAAGAAGGAGATGAAAAAAGACCACTCAGGTTATCAAATTACCCCAAAGAATCTACAGTAGAAACCGGGAAACAAATACACTCACCCCAAACCAAACCCGTCCAAACCAAGAAACCAGTTTTAACATTGGCTTTTCCATGGTGATTATCATCTGACTTTAATATATATCTATATCTCTATATATATTTGAAATAGTAATAAAAAAGGAAGCATTGAATTGCATCTTTAGCAGGACAACCTTCCTCATCTGTCAAAGAGGTGTTCGGGAAACTCCGTATAGTGTCTGCTCAGTAAGCACGTTTGGCAGCCCAGCAAGTATCACGTGATTGCAGCATCCATGATTCCAAGTGAAACGGCATTTGCTTTCTTTGGGGTCGAGTCCGTTGCTCGGGGCGCGGTGCTCCCACGGCTCTGGATGTCCCGAGACCCACGGCTCCAGGAAGGGCTTGGGGGTGGCTCAGTGCATGGCCCCAGTGCAGAAACGTCCGGAACCCCAAACAACGAGTCAGCCAACCAGCCACACGGACGTCAGACAATGGTCTCCTTTGAGTTCCTCTTGACAGAGTGGAGGCCCAGCAGGGACTGCTGGTTAGAAGGGACGCTGACAGACTTTGGGACGAGGAGAATCACTCTCTGATTGGTCCGACGCCATTCGTTATACAGTCGACAGTGGTACCTAAATGACACCTGGGGTCAGGAGAGGAAACAGAAGGGAGGGTTTCAGGTCAGCGGAAGCCGATAATCAATGCAAGAAACAAACAGGTCATTGAAAACAGCTCCGAATAGCTGGCGGCTGGAAAACGAGGCAAGGCCCCCCCACCCCCCGCCCCGGGCCACACCTTGCCGGCCAGCAGCTGAGTGTTGGGAGATAGGCACCGACCAGAGAACACCCCTGTCTGAACAGGGGCAGGGCTCCTGGGTGGCTTCCTTTCTTCCCCCTCAGAGTGGAAACAATTAGGATATGACTAGGAAATGAGGTTCCTTCAGAGGCTGGATTTAGTTTGGGGATAGTAGCGTTTGGGCCCCAAAGCATCAGTTGTGAAGCAGGTTGGCTACAGACAGCCAGGCAGAGTGGGTACGGCGCTAACCTCGGCCATGTGTCTTTCTGGTCCTCAGCTTCCTCTCTGTTAAATAAGAGGGATGCTTGGGCGTCATGTCCCCTCCTGCAGGTTGGACACTGCACAATTCAACATTCAGGAAGGGTGCCCTTCGAATTGTGCCATGCACAACTCTTACAACTGTACCAGCGGGGCCCCGATAGGTGATTCCCGACGCCTGCAGCTCCGGCTTTCTATGGCTTTCAGTGGGATAAGCTTTGGCATGGGCACCAAGTCCCTGGATAAATTCTTCCTGAGCCTCAACCTGGGGTAGGATCCACTTCCCTGGGCACCTGCAGTGCCTCGTGCCTACCTCAGCATGGCATCAAGTGCTCCATACGTCAGTGTATTTGTGTCTCTCTCTCCCTGCTCCAGAAGCATCTCGACAGCAGGGCTTGGGTTGTATTCATCACTGCATGCCCAGCGCCTATCATGGCGCTTAAGAAGTTGCTCAGTAGAGTTTGCTGAGTGAATAAATATCCTCCGCTTTCTGACTGCAACCCTGTTTCAGATTTAAGCCTCTCTTATATAATCTACATTATGAGCAGTAAACTGATGGCCAATGGTGGCTTAACTATGCCGAAAAGTACTTGCTTCTCCTGTAAATATCCTGGAATGAGATACATCTGTCGTTCGTTTTCGAGAAGGCTGGCGTACGGCCTGGGTGGACTGCCCGGAAAGGTCAGTCTGTACTTCTGAAGATGCACGGACTGTCTTGAAAAATGGGGAAAGGTTCCAGTTTGAAAGCATGCAGATGACTAGGTAGGTACTGGGAAGGAAGGTGCCTATGAGCTTAGGCTGACAGATGACCTGGCATGAGCTGTTTAATCATCTGGGGTGGGTGCATTGGGCTGACCCCAGGACAGGGTCCCTGGTGGTCAGAGAGAGAGGGCTGACTCCATAGTTGGAACTCAGCATTTCTGGAAGCAGAAGAGACCACAGGCCCTGGATCAGAAAGGGCTTACTGGTCCTCTGGCAGGATTGTGCAATTCAAGGCCGCTAGCTTAAATTTCCGAGGCTAGAGAGCAGATGCCACAGGCCGAGTGCCAGAGAGATTTGGGTATGAAAATATAAGCTTTTAAACTCACACAGATGTGCTTTTCTCCACAAGGCCCTGAACATGCCAAAGCGGATCAGGTTTGGGTTGTATTTTTTTTTCGCCAAGCTTGATTCTCATGTATCGATTCTGTCCCGCTACTGCTTGGTGCTCCTCACCGAATGTGGGCGAGGCAGCCGGGAAGGCCTGCCGCTCGGGGCCAAGAGCGGGTAAAAGAGTGGAAGGCAGACTCGTACTAATGAGGAGCTTTGGCAGTCCGAGAAGACCGGAATCTGGAGATCTTCTGGGAAGGCTGGGTTTCAAATCAAGAGACGCTTTGTCTGTGTGTTAAGGAGCTGTGCGCGCTGGACCTCCGGGTAGGCCTAGAAGTGGCCGTGGGTGAATGCAAGGGGGCGCCTTCTCCAGCGCTCTCGGGCCTGGCACCCCAGGCCTGGGTCCCCATCCTCTGCCTAGTGGCTCCGTGACGCCGGGAGGGTTGCTTGCTACGCCCAAGCGTCCGTTTCCTTGTCGGCAAAACGTGGAGAGTGGTGTCTGAGAGCGCACAGAAAGCACTCAGCACCGTGCCTCCCACACGGGAGTGTTCTCGGCCTGTTATTTTTGATGCGTTAAATACAGAAAAGAAGACAGTTTTGTGGATGCTCCTTCTTAGACACAGAGGAAGTGGGGGGACAAGGAAAAAAAAGCGCTATTTCGCTTGCTCTCAGCGTGGCTGTGGGTCACCTGGGAGCTTGTTAGAACATCAGCATTCTGGGCTCCGCCCAGACCTAAGGAATCAGAGCGTGCATTTTAACAAGATCCCCAGGTGATTCGCAGATCCTTGCAAGCCTGAGAAGGCTGCTGCAGGCAAGCCGGGGAGTCAACGACTTAGCGGTCTCCTCGTTCCTTGGCCAGGAGGCGCGAAAATCAGCCCGCTTGTTCAGACAAACAAATGAGGTCTTATTATGCATTCATCTATCTTAATTGCCGTTAACCATCACAGTCTGCAGGCAAATTCAATCAATGAGAAGAAAGCATCAGATGAAGATGACTCCTTATTGGGGAAAATCAAGGAACTTGGGCCTAATGCAGACGGGACCTCAGGTTTGCAAATGCCCTGGGCTAATGCTGAGCCTGGGCCAGGAGCTCCAAGACGCTCCCTTACCGCAGTGGAACAGAATAGGAAAAAAGAAGGGTTGACTTAGAGGAATAAAGAGGCAGTGAGGGAAGAATAAACAACAAAACAAAAAGAAGCTAGGACAATGGTAACGTTGGGAACTTGGTTTAGATATTTCTTAGATGTCCCCAGGAGGAGAGGCAGAGGGAGGGGGAGGGAGAGAGAATCTGAAGCAGACTCCATGCCTAGCACGGGAGCCCGACACGGGGCTCGATCTCATGACCCTGAGATCAAGACCTGACCCGAAATCAGGAGTTGGACGCCTAACGGACTGAGCCACCCAGGCGCTCCTTAAATGTCTGTGTTATGAAGAGAAGAGGAAGAAAGAGCACAGAGCCACTATTCTAAAAATGTTTCTTTTGGGATGGTTTTCTTGAGGTGTATTCATTTCTTCATCCAAAGGATATTAACGTGGGCAAGATCCACAAAGAGCTGTAGCCACGTGGACGGGGAAAGGAAGGATTACATTAGCATCCACCTGTCCCTGGCAGGGAGGTGACGGGCTGTGGCCTAAGGTCTGCTGTAAAGTCACAGCAGGGGGTGGGAAATCGCATTACCTATTTTTTATTCTGCCCTTTCTCTCCGGAGGTTATGGTGTGATCGAGGCCTACTGATGGGGCCAGGGCCTCCTCTTCCCAGAAACGGCCCAGCTCCCCGATCTCCGGCTGCACTGAGCAGGCGGGCTGTGTGAGAGCAAATGGGCTTCAGAGAAGGACCAGACACGGGGTCACCCTCAACACCCTCAGGCCACCGTGGGCCGTGTGGGCTGTGGCTCAGCCAGCATGCACACGGCGACCCTCGTTGGGCAGCGTCCTCCCGGGGGTCTCCCGACTTTATAAGGAGATGTCAGACGACTACCCCATGGGGCTGGGAGTCAGCCAGAGGAAACAGGTTGCTCATTCATTCCATTCTGGGCCTTAACCAGTTTCCGTGCTGGGCGCTGCTTGTTGCCTCGGTGATGTAGTGAACGCAGGGTCTCCCTGCATCCCGGCATCCCGGTCCCCCCACCTGTCAGCGTGGGGCTAATTATAAGTGCCACCCTAGGTGACTTCTTAGTGCCAAGTGTGGACTCAGATGATGTCTGTCCCTGGACCTCAAATGGTTTGTGATGTGGGCAGGGATGTTTCCAGGGCACCCCTCCCCGGGCTCGCGGGTCCCAGATGCAGGCTTCCACATGGCAGGTTCCAGAAGGCCCAGTTCCCCGGGGGGCAGCAGGGCCGGGCATGGACTGCAGAGGTGCGATGAGGCGGGGCTGTGTGTCCCCCTTCCCAGCGCTGGCGGCGGGGGCCCTGCCAGGAAGGCTGGGACTGACACGGTGTTTGTTTATCTAAGACATTTTCACAGCATATTCTCCGGGAGCCTGACAGCTTGTTTACAATGGGTTTCTGCCGGAGGGCACTTTCCAAGTGCTGTCAGCTCCTGAGTTACGGCTCCTGCCAGGGCGGCTCAGTACAGCATTTATCTGGGAGGGACTTAGCCCGGATTTAGGAACCTCTGGCTCAGGGGCTCCACAGTGCGGTGTCCACACCCGTCAGAGGGGAGAATGCCTTCCCTCCCCTCCAGCAGCTTTGCCTCTTGTAGCCGGCTGGGCGTCCAGAGGAAGAAAGCCCCATGCCTATTTTGGGTGCTCTGATAAACGTTCCTGAAGGTACCCCACCTAGTCCTTACGGTAGCCCAGTGACCCAGGGGCTGTCACCATTCCTCCACTTTCTGCATAAGGGGAAGGCTGATCAGAGAGGTGAAGTACCCTGTTTAGAGTGACACAGCTCTTAGGATGCTAAATCTTGGGTCCGACCGCAGGGCCTTTGGATTCTAATGCATGTGCTTTCCACTACACGGCCCTGCCTCTTGGAAATGTTTCTGGAATGAAGTATGTTCTCAGTCTCCTGAAAGAGCCCACTCCAGGCACCCTTCCTGCCCAAGCCCCCTTTCATTTGAGATGGGAGATGAAACAGGGTCACATCCGCTTTCCCCGACGAAACCTTTCCCTTTCTTCCTCCCCCGGCCACCTTTTCCTCTTTCGTAATAGGTGAACGTATGCTTTACAAAGCAGGTTTTCCTTTTAAAAGGCCTTGAATTGGTTTGAAAGCCCAACACTTAGGTTTACATCTTCAACCATCCTTCATCCTCCATACACGTCTAAGAAAAATCATAGACTAGCAAACCTGTAAACATGGTAAGAACTGACAGTTATTTTCCAGAGAACTTTCCTCGGGTGCTCTCTCCTTTCAGTCCCTAAGCAGCCGGGGGGCTGGTGGGATGGGCATTGCTGTCATCCTAACTTTACGGATGAGGACGCTGAGGCTCAGAGCCCTGGACTGACTTTTCCAAGCTGGTGCAGTTGACCGGGAGTTAGTGCTAAAGGTGATTTGATTTCTTATTCTAACCCTCTTCCCATTCCCACCGCCTTGTGACGTGTGAGTCTGCTTCATTGCTTGATTCACAGTGAATCAGGACCCACTTGGGCAGCAGACTTTTAAAGGAGGCAGTCATACTTCTGCTGGTGGTGGGGCGTCATGAGGCTGGGAGCAGGATGCCTAAATCCACCAGGGGACTCGGAGACTCCGAGTTTGAAGCATCAGAACGCCCCGTCTTTACCAAGGCTGGAGCCACGTCCCTCCTACTGAGACTGACGTGTGCCTCTACTTACCCCCCTGACCCCCGCCCCGAGGGGAGGTACAGAGCTGAAGAGTCACAGGACTAACAAGAGGGAAATGAGCTACAGGGGAGGGTTATGGTCTGCCGGGCAGGAGTGGCCCCTGCTGGGACAGGGTTTGGAAGACAGAGCGAAGGGGCACGTGTGAGTGAGCGCTAGAAGCGCTAGAAGCTTCCACATGCTGATACCGTGCTACGGGGTAAGAGAACGGTACGCTCTGGACAGGAAACATATATTAAGTAACCATGGCACGTGCTCCGATGAGAAATGAGCAGGCACAGCAGAGTCCTGCCAGGAAGCAGGGCGCCCGGTTTCTGAAACGAGTCTAGAGGGGGGTGACGTTCTTCCCCGCAGCTCCCGGAGGGAAACAGAAAGAGTGAGATCAATGCTGTGCCAACCGCTGCCCAAGCACTCAACTCTCTTCAGGAGTTAAGAATGAAAAAAACAGACGGGTTTAAGAATCCTGCCTCGTATACAGCAGGCACGCTTACTGGGAAATGGGTTTCTTTGGTGGCGGCTTCTCGGCCAGATAAACTGGCGTTTTTATGGGCAGCGGGGTCAATATCCCAACACACAGAATTATCATCCGGCAAAACGCAGCTCCACGTCCAGCCAAGACTTTAGGCTGCGTCCGGGAGTAGGAAGAAAAGAACCAGCAGCGGGACAATGACAGCCTCAGTGGCCAAGTGCATCATTCCTAATCCGCTACCATCCCGGCAAAAGTGGGGAACATAAACTAGAGGGAGAAAACGCCGTGCCTCGTCGCGGATGGCGTCCCAGAACCCTGGAGGAGGGAAATGGCTTCGATTGGCGGGCTCCCAGGAGCGGGGCTTTTTCTTTCCTTCACCTGCTCTTCCCAGCAGCGCGCCCGCACTTCCACGCGCCCGCACGCGCGGGCATCACCCCGTCCCGCGCTCCGGCCAGCACCTGCAGATCTGCCTTCCGCGGGGCAAGCGGGCCGGGCTACAACCCGGGGGCAAGGCTGCACCAGCCGGGAGGCTGCCGGCTCCAGTTACCCCGAGCCCCCGGCCCGGGGGCCATACTTACTAGTGTCCAAAAGAGGTAAATAGTGAAGAGTGCCACAGTGAGTGCAATCAGTCCGACGGCCTCCAGCCGACTACTAAAGTGCAGGTGGTCCACGGCGCCCCGCAGGCAGAGCCAGCCCGAGATGGTGGCCAGCGGCGTAATGAACAAGAAGCACACCATGTCTCCGAACAGGGTCCGCTTCTCATGCTGGGGGCCCGGGTTTCGGAGCCACTGCCGGGGGGAGAGGGGGAGACGGAGAAAAGCAAGGTCACGGTTAGAGGCCGGCGTGGAGCGGAGACACAGCACTCTGTCTTCCGAAACGGGACACGGGCGCTTCGGACCTGTTCTGAGATCACAGGGAAGCATTAAGGGCTCATTTCCATATCCCGCCTCCCCGGATAACAGTGATTATTGATAATACTTTGACATGACGACAGTGACGATGATGACAAAAATCGTGATTTTAAAGTGTCTTTGCTGTTTTTGAAAACAGTTCAGAGGTTATTATTTTGAACACTGGCCCTACGGGAAGATAGAGAGGATATTATTTCCAGAAGGTAAGAGTTGAGATACGAGAAGTGCTGTCGTGTGGCCAAAGGCTTCCAGTGTCTTGACCCTGGGAATGTCTGCAGGAAGGGGTTAACTCAGCAGGCCTGGGTTGCTCAAATCGTGCATGTTCCCCAGAAAGACCCGTTTTCAAGATTGGCTCTTTGGAGATGAGCTCTGAGTCCTTGCAATATTTTGCTTTTATGAGTGTCTCTGTATGCCTGAGGCCCTGGGCTGTATGGTAAGAGTATAATGAAATCATTTATGCCAACAATGTGATTTATGCTGAACACCTATGTTCACCGTGGGGGGCTGGAGTCTGAGGAGCTGAGGGCAGACAGGCAGGCGCTGCATGCCTATGTGACTGACCCCAATAAACACCCTAGACACCAAGGCTTGGGGTGGTAATACTTGGTATGTGTTGTCACAAATTGTTGCTGGGAAAATTAAGCAGATTTGTGTGACATTACTGGAAGGGGACACCTGGGAGCTTGCGCCTGGTTTCTCCTGAACTTTACCCCCTGGACCCTTTCCCTCTGCTGATTTTAATTGGTATCCTTTTGCTGTTATAAACTGTAACCATGAGGAAAAGAACTTTTCTGATTCCTGTGAGGCCTTCTAGTCAATCATAGGAGCCCAAGGGTGGTTTGGGGATCCCCCACAGACTGAGACTCATGTGACTCCATGAACTCAGTAATGCCCCTCCCTGTGTTAGGACCCTGACATCCTAACTGTACCGCCCAATTTTGGGGCTGAACCAGCCCCAAAAAGGGTAGTGAAAACTTTGTGCTTGTTGAAAGACCGGTCATGAGAATTCCTACAGGATGGGAAACAGAGTTGCTGTGCTCCCACTTAGGGAATTGCTGAACGCCTGCTGAAATGCTTTCCATAATCCACTCTGGGAAAAGTCATGCTTACATATTGGTGTTGGTGCATAACGGTAATGAGGCCTGGGGGCTTTTCTTCAGATTAGGACTGGAACATGTCTCCCAATACTCCCATCTCACTACCCCGTGTAGTACTAGCCGAGGCCAAAGGGTTCAGAGGAGGGGCTCAAGCACAGTTGATGGGGTAGGAAGAGACGCGGGCTAAGTGTCTTCCATCTCGTCCCATAAGCAAACGGGGGCTTTGCGGTGCCACGGCTGGCCCCCGGATGGGAGCATTACGGGCTGCGGAGCAGACACTCCCGGTGGCCAGGGCTGAGTTTCCCGCACAAGCATTGGTGGGAGGGAAATGAGCGTGACAGGGGACACAGGACGGGGTGGTGCACACTGGAGGGTGAAGGAGAGACCATGTTCCAGGGCGGGAGGAAGAGACGGAAAGAAGACCTGAGGAAAGGGCAAGCGAGGTGAGAACAGAGTGGCGGGAGGGCCAGCAGAAGCCTCAGGGAGTGAGCGGGAGAGACAGGAGGGAAAAGGCAGTGAAGAGGTTTTCCGGGAGGTGCCCGGCCTTGAGTGTTTGGCTGAGGCAAACGCTAAGTGACCCGCAGTGCCCAGCACACCACTTTCCAGGGACCACCCACCTTACAAGTGTGCGGAGAGGCTGAAGGAAGTCAGCCTCGGCTCAACAATGGACCCGAGTAAATAGATCATGGGGAGATGACGTGTTCTCTGAATAGAAATACAGCAATAGAAAAATTTCACAGAAATACCTAAGTGATCAAGTGCAAAGGACAGAGACCCTGCCACGCGTTGTCATGTTACCCCACACATCTCAGCAGCTTCAAAGAAATTCAACAAGCTCTTACTAATTTACATTTTCTTGCCTAAATACTGGGACTATCGCTATGACGTGGAGAGTAGAAATCAGGCGTGATTCTCCTAACTTTATGGAGCAAGGTTAAATGATTGCTTCATGTGATTTAAGGGTCAAAGTGAGGAGAAGACTCAGATTTCTCTACTTTTGCTCAGATGTCCTATCTGTAAAATATTTGAAAAATATTAAAATTATAAGACATTCAGAAATCCAGATCCTTAAACAATGTTCCCCAAATTGCAGCAACCTGATTCCTCTTGCAGATTTTCCCTGGAAACAGATCTGGAAGCCTGGCCTACTTTTCTCTGTGTCCTCACTTGCTGGAACATAGTAGATTCTCAATAAGTATGCAACAGATGTAAGCAGACAAGCTGAACTTCCTGGCAAAGACTTTCTCCAATTCCTTCTGCTGGAGAATTCTGAATACATTTTATGAAAATTAATTTAGTATTTTATTTATCTATGTGGCCCCTGACATTACCCAATGAAATGACTCAGGTGTGGAAGGAAGTAATTACAAATCATTGGTTATCTCCGTCTGGTGTAAGATAAATCACACAGGCAAGATTAGCATTACTACTGGTTCCCAGTTTCTCATTTTCTAATTGTTCTTTGATTTTCTATATTCCTGAAAAATTTCTAGGCCTTTTTATATGTACATGATCATCTAATATCTGGATTCTGCACAGTATTAACTATATATATGTATTTTTTTGGCTTAGCTTACTCTTTATGTTATTTACTCCTGGGTCATATTTATGTATGAAATCATTTGTGTTTTTTGTTTGTTTGTTTTTAAAGTAAGCTCTAAGCCCAGTGTGGGGCTTGAACTCACAACTCTGAGATCACTAGTTGCATTCTCTACTGACTGAGCCAGCCAGGTGCGCCAGGTATGAAGCTCTTTAAATAGGTAGTATTATGTTGAAATCTGTGACTTCTTCAGAACCCCAAATGTTATTTATCTCTTACACAAATGCAGGTCCCATGAACAAGACCGCTGGCAATATCTGTTGATGAATAAAAAAAATTGCTCTTTGCCAAAGTATCCAAATAAGTTGATATGGGATATTTACACAGGCAGAGTTTATAACAGAGAAAATCTGATTACACCTCAAATTTCTAGTGAAAGGGGACTGTCTAAATATATTACAGAATTTATTTAGAATACCACAGAGTAATTTCAAATGATAATGTACATTTTATATTTACTGCCGTGATATATTGCTGAGCAGGAGGAGAGTTCTACTGGACAGAATTTATTGTACGACCCTGTATAGGTAATGATGTATTTACAAGCACATAGACATTTACACCTACGTAGATGGAGTGGATTTACATAGACAAAGACCAGAAGGATTCCTAGCAAAATAGCGGCTACTCTTGGTGGTGGAATCATGAGTCGTCTTTAATTTTTTTTGCTTTGTATGTATTTTCTTGCTTTTCTCAAATGAACATGGATTACCCATGTAAATAAATATGTATTTATTAGTTGTGTACAAAACATCGGGAGAGAGAGTGAGGGACACTGAGTGAGAGATAAGGAGAGAGGAGGGAATTGGGAAGGGAGGTGTCCAGCTAGTGCTTTGTGAACTACAGCAGGAAACAAACAAACAAACAAACAAACAACAGTACTGAGCTATGGCTGGGGCAAGCTCAGGGCTAGAAAGTTGAGTTTATTATGCACCATCTCATTGAGGCCTTGCAATAATGCTGTGAAGCACGTGCTCACATTATCCCCATTTTACAGATTCGGACACAGGGGAGAAGAGAGTTTACTAATTCACCTAAGGATAGACGGCAAGTGGGTGGTAGAGGTGGGATTCAAGCCAGCCTCACTTTGCTGTTTCTTGCTTTCCATATTTACATTTTCTTTCTGCACCAAATGGCACTTGTGTGTGTGTGTGTGTGTATGTGTGCGTGCACTAGATTTCTGGCAAATTTTCAGCTAGGTGGGATACAGTAAGTCCTGCTGTTTTACTGGTTCAGCAGATAGCTGAAGGATTGGCTGGCCAGGATGTTATGGTAATTTTAAAAAATATTCTTAGGCTACTAGTCTGTTGTATGTTAATTCTTTTACCACATCACAATGAGGTCTAATGTCTGGGCTTTAATCTCAGAGACATTGTGGCCTAATTCATAATAGACAAAAGACTGATCTCAATTATTGTTCAATTTGATTTTTTGCTGTTATGCCTTGTGCCTCTCTAATCAGTTATACTTATTATACATAGAGTATTAGACCTATTCTTTAGTAGCATCTTCATTTCTCATATTTGTAATACAGAGGAGGCTGGGGCAGAACGGCAGGTTGGTTTGTGTGTCCGTCTTGCCACCTGACCTGAGGTGGACGCTTTATATCACTCGAATCTCACACATCCGGCATTTACAATGTTCAGTCAATGACAGTAGCTTATGTTTACTCACACGTTATGATATGCAAAGCACTATCTTTATGCTACGTGAAGTAACTGATTTACTCTGCAATAACCTTTGAAAGAGGTACCACTATTATCGGCAGCGTTTTACAGATAGGGAAACTGAGGCACAGAGCAGTGAAACGACTTATAAAAGATTGGCCTTGGCTTTGATCCATGTTGTCTAGCTCCAAAGACAGTGCTCCAAAGTAATCTATTCTATCATCATTCTTAGTTAAAAAAAAAAACGGCGGCGGCGGCAGTGGGTGGTGAGGGGATGAAGTGGGTAGAAGGAGGCGCATACCTTCAATGTGTTTATTGGTGTACGAAGTTCCCCTGGGTGCCTGATACTAATTTATCCTGCCACTTGTGGACAGCTTTTGCAACTAGAAGATCGTTCTTTTTTTTTTTTTTTTTTTAAAGATTTTATTTATTTATTTGAGACAGAGAGAATGAGAGGGAGGAGGGTCAGAGGGAGAAGCAGACTCCCCGCCGAGCAGGGAGCCCGATGCGGGA